GGCTCAGCTGGACCCCTCAAAGACCCCCCAAGATTTCCTTTTGGGGGTTTCAGGAAGGGGCAATGAGACCCCCCCAGACCCAAATTGGGGGGTCCCCAAAAGAGCTCAGCCAGCCCCCCCACCTCAAATTGGGGGGTCCCCAAAGGGACCAACGAGACCCCCCCAGACCCAAATTGCGGTCCCCCAAAAGGGGTCGGCGCCCCTCCTCCCCAGAGCCCCAAATTTGGGGTCCCTTGTGGGGCTCAGCACCCCCCCAGCCCCAATTTCAGCCCCCCCAAATTTCTCCTTTTGGGGTCCCCTCAAAGGGGTCAGCGCCCCCACCGGGGGGACAGGGGGACATCGGGGACATCGGGGACAGGGGACACCAGGGGACAGGGGGGACACTGGGGACACCGGGGGATATGGGGACATCAGGGACACCGGGGACACCGGGGGACAGGGGGACATCGGGGACACTGGGGACATCGGGGGATATGGGGACATCGGGGACACCGGGGACATCGGGGACATCAGGAGATATGGGGACAATGGGGACATCAGGGGATGTGGGGACATCGGGGACACTGGGGACATCGGGGGATATGGGGACATCGGGGACACCGGGGACATCGGGGGACAGGGGGACACTGGGGGCATTGGGGGATATGGGGACACTGGGGACATCGGGGACAGGGGACACCGGGGACACTGGGGGGCATCGGGGACATTGGGGACACCGGGGACATCGGGGGACAGGGGGACACCAGGGGATGTGGGGACACTGGGGGCATGGGGACACCACGAGGACAGGGGGACACCAGAGACATTGGGGGATGTGGGGACACAGGGACACTGCGGGGACAGGGGGACACCGGGGACAACGGTGACACGGGCGGCTCTGCGCGTCCTTAGGGACACGCGGGTGACACCGGGGACACCGCTGGCTCTGCGTGTCCTTGGGGACACGCGGGTGACTCCGGGGACACCGCTGGCTCTGCGTGTCCTTGGGGACACGCGGGTGACTCCGGGGACACCGCTGGCTCTGCGTGTCCTTGGGGACACGCGGGTGACTCCGGGGACACCGCTGGCTCTGCGTGTCCTTGGGGACACGCGGGGGACACCGGGGACATCAGGAGATATGGGGACAATGGGGACATTGGGGGATATGGGGACACTGGGAGGACATGGGGACGCGCAGAGCCGCCCGTGTCACCGTTGTCCCCGGTGTCACCCGCGTGTCCCCAAGGACACGCAGAGCCAGTGGTGTCCCCATTGTCACCCGCGTGTCCCCAAGGACACGCAGAGCCGCCCGTGTCCCCGGTGTCCCCGGTGTCACCCGCGTGTCCCCAAGGACACAGAGAGCCGCCCGTGTCCCCGGTGTCCCCGGTGTCCCCGGTGTCACCCGCGTGTCCCCAAGGACACGCAGAGCCGCCCGTGTCACCGGTGTCCCCGGTGTCACCCGCGTGTCCCCGCAGGCGGCGCCGACAAGCAGCAGATGGACGCGGAGCTGCGCAAGGAGATGATCGCCATCTGGCCCAACCTGTCCCCCAAAAACCTGGACCTGCTCGTCACCCCCCACAAGTGTAAGGGCCACCCCCCGGCTGTCCCCGCGCTGTCCCCGCGCTGTCCCCGCCGTGCCCTGACCCGTGTCCCCGCAGCCACCGACCTGACGGTGGGCAAGATCTACGCGGCCATGATGATCATGGAGTACTACCGGCAGAGCAAGGCCAAGAAGCTGCAGGCCATGCGCGAGGAGCAGGTGGGACACGGCCACTGTCACCCGCTGTCCCCTCCCTGTCACCTCCCGCTGTCCCCCCCGCTGCTGTCCCGCAGCCCCCGGATGGCGTTGTCCTCTGCTCTGCCACCTCTGGTGTCCCGGTGTCCCCATGTCCTGGTGTGCTGGTGTCTCCCTGTCCTGGCATCCCCATGTGTCCCGTGTCCCCTGCCCCATGTCTCGTGTCCCCTGTCCCCTGTCCCATATCCCACTGTCCCTGTGTCCCATGTCCCCCGTCCCGTGTCCCCATGTCCCCATGTCCCATGTCCCGTGTCCCCATACCCCCATGTCTCGTGTCCCTGTCCCCTGTCCCTGCCCCATGTCCCCTGTCCCATATCCCACTGTCCCTGTGTCCCATGTCCCCCGTCCCGTGTCCCCATGTCCCCATGTCCCATGTCCCGTGTCCCCCTACCCCCATGTCTCGTGTCCCTGTCCCCTGTCCTGTCCCCATACCCCATGTCCCCTGTCCTGTGTCCTGTCCCCATGTCCCCATACCCCATGTCCCCTGTCCTGTCCCCATGCCCCCCCGGGACCCCCCGGGACCCCCGGGCCGGGGTCTCAGCGCTCTCTGTCTCTCCCCGGCTCCGCGGGCTCCTCCTGGGCCGGCTCTGGCAGCGGAGGAAGGTCCGACCCCGCGGCAATAACCTCAGTGTAGGTACCGCGGGGACCCCCCGAGACCCCCGCCAGAGCCCCCCGCCCCTCGGACCCCGCCCGGACCCCCACAGCCTCCCTTGGACACCCCCGGACCCCCACAGCCCAGCGGAGGAAGGTCCGACCCCGCGGCAATAACCTCAGTGTAGGTACCGCGGGGACCCCCCGAGACCCCCGCCAGAGCCCCCCGCCCCTCGGAC